ATGACATTGACCATCCAGGTCGGATGATTGAATTTCGCTTACATTTTCTTAACTTAGTCATTTATTTATGGAAATGATTCATAACTTAGTCATTTATTTATGGAAATGATTTATACTTAGACAAAACAAGTGTGACTAAACAGATCAGTTAAACTACAAAAATGTGCATATTACTAACCTATAATTTTATTAATATTATTATTTAAATATTCAAAGTGCTTGATAGCTTAAAAAGGATTTTTCTCTAGGTGAAATGTGCAAATTTCTGTTTTAATGATTTTGCATTAAACTTTGGTTGCTACAAACCACTGAATGTATTCAAACTGGAACCAGTCATACTGGTTATAACATAAAATTCTTACACCAGCTGTCAGTACAGATCTGAACATCTAGCTTAAGCATAATTGTTTTCGGCAATATGCTCTGCAGAGTTTTCTGTAAACAGTTACCCGTGAGCTAGAAATTCCCTTTAAAGCCAGGGGTGTAAGCAAGGTTTTTTAGCACCCGCGCAAACAGTAGATTATCCTGTCTGATATGCAAGAAATTGTTGTTGTGACATGTTTACCAATACCTCTAGCATGGATAATTCAGATCTGATAAGGAAAAAAATACTCTTAATTTGAGACTATCTAGCAAGCAGTTAGCATCTAGGACAAATACTGATAAATATAAAGTATATAAAATGTCTAAGTATACTTATATTATAAGTTTTATTCTGGTGCAAGCCAGAAATGATGTCTAAGTGTATGTTCTTTCTTCACTCCAGTTATGGTTGAAACTTGCCATATGACTTCTCCAGTGTCAGTTTTATTATAAACCCACTATATCCCGCGCCCCTAAAGATAGTAAACAGTAAAATAACTTACTTAAAATTAATATATTAATTATTGATAAGATTAATTTTTGTACAACTGTTTTGCTGATTTGTGTTTTGATATATATGAAAGATCTGGGTATTTATTTAATATTTGGTATTCGACTGGTATGTATAAGTACCAGGCAGAAACGAATATAAAAGGACATTTCGAAGAGAAGATGTGCACCTCTTTCCAAGCTTGAAATATGGTATTTCCAGGTTATGTTTCTTTATTACATACTTATAAATAAAATGATGAGAAATATTGATGAAATTAAATGCTTATTTTCACTTTCCTTATTTTCACTGCAAAAAAAAATATTTTCCACTGCATTGAAACATATTTTCACCGGTGTCTTGCCAGACTAATTTCTGCTATATTCAGCCTTTCATATTGTGATGTCAATAAAGAGAAATGCATATAATAAACAAGTAAATTTAAGTATTTTCTATAAATAGTTTGTAGTATGAACATTATCATGTTTCACTTGTGGCAACCACCACTCATGAAATATTTATGTTTATACCACGCAATGAAAATAAATATTGTATTTATAGAAAAAACTTGGCTATCCTCTATTTCTTCAGTTATAATTTATAATGTTTATTACCTGACTGTAATGACTTGAAAAGTGAAAACTTGATTACAAGTCTAAAGATCATGTTTATGATTGTAACATGTTTTTTTGGGGTTATACATTATTTGGAAATATAAAATGTTGAGCACCTATAGTTTGGTGCTTAAAATAAATTTGGTACCCAATCATTCCTGCAATAGTGTATTCTGCAACCAGTGATGCTTGAAAGAATGTGTAGATCTCCTCTGCTAAAACGAAAGATCTAGCATGTAAGTTTATAGGACAGCACAGTGCAGTTAAAAGGCACAGACACTTGGGATGTAGAGCTCGTGTGTGTGTATTATTTTAGAACTTGAAATATGATTTTTTTTATGCCACCGCAGCATCTGCGATGCGGTGGCATATAGCGATTCACCTGTGTGTGTGTGTGTGTGTTTGTGTGTGTGTGTGTGTGTTATATAGATTATATAGTGAACTTAAAAAATCTTCTTGTGAAAAACCACTTGTCCAATTTCAACCAAACTTGGCATGATTGATCCTTGGGTGAAGGGCTTCCAAAGTTGTTCAAAGAATTTCATTCCATGCAGAAATCTGGTTGCCATGGCAACCAAAAGGAATTATAAGAATAAATTTAAAAAATCTTCTTGTAAAGACCCAGAAGGCCTAGAGCTTAGATATTTTGCATAAGGCATTGTCTGGTAGACTTCTACCAAGATTGTTCAAATTATAGCCCTGGGGTCAAAATCGGCCCCACCCTGGGGGTCATTGATTTTCACTATATGTACATATAGTAAAAACTTAAAATACCTTCTTGTAAAGACCCAAAAGGCCCAGAGCTTAGATATTTTGCATAAGGCATTGTCTTGTAGACCCTTACCAAGAGTGTTCAAATTATAGCCCTAGGGTCAAAATCGGCCCCACCCTGGGGGTCATTGAATTTCACTATATGTACATATAGTAAAAACCTAAAATACCTTCTTGTAAAGACCCAAAAGGCCTAGAGCTTAGATATTTTGCATAAGGCATTGTGTAGTGAACCTCTAGCAAGATTGTTCAAATTATAGCTTTGGGGTCAAAATCGGCCCGCCCCTGGGGTCATTGGTTTTCTTTATATGTATATTGTAAAAACTTATAGTAAAAACTTTAAAAAAATTTCTTCTAGCAATTGACAATGCTAGAGGTTAGATATTTTGCATGAAACATTGTGTAGTGAACCTCTAGCAAGATTGTTCAAATTATAGCCCTGGGGTCAAAATTGGCCCCACCCCCAGGGGTCGTTGATTTTCACTATGTACATATAGTAAAAAATTAAAAAATCTTCTTGTCTGAAGGTACAAGGCTTAGAGCTTTGATATTTGGTATATAATATCATCTATGGGTCCTCTACTAAAGTTGTTTTAATTATGCCCCTAGTGAAAAAATTGCCCTGCCCTAGAGGCGATAGTTTTCCTTATATGTATAAAGTAAAAACTTGAAAAACCTTCTTCTCTGAATTGACAAAGGCTAGAGGTTAAATTTATGGCATGAGACTTTGGGAAGTGAACCTCTACTAAGATTGTTCAAATTATAGCCCTGGGGTCAAAATTGGGTCCGCCCCGGGTTCATTGATTTTCATAATGTACATATAGTAAAAATAAAATAAAAGCTATTTTTGTCTGAAGGTACAAGGCATAGAGCTTTGATGTTTGCTATATAATATCATCTGTAGGTCCTCTACCAAAGTTGTTCAAATTTTTCCCCTGGTGTCAAAATCGGCCCTGCCTTAGGGCAGTGATTTTCATTAAGAACACATAATAAAAACAGAAAATAAAACAAATGTTTTCTGAATGGGAGGAAGCTACAGCTTAGATATTTGACTTGAAATGTTGTTTAGTGGACCTGTATCAAGATTGTTTTGAATTAAACCCTTGGGTCAAAATTTTGCCAACAGGGACAGTGACCTACTTTCTTGTCCTTTGATGTACAGCAATGAAATTTTGACCATGTGCACAGTTTTAGTTGTAAAATTGAACTTTTATATCAAGTGACCTAGATTTTGATTATGTGACCTACTTTCTTGTCCTTTGATGTACAGCTATGAAATTTGAACCATGTGCACAGATTAAGATGTAAAGTGAACTTTGATATCAGCTGACCTAGATTTTGACAAAGTGTCTTACTGTGTTGTCCTTTGATGTAGTCATGAAATTTAGGCTGTCGTCTGCTTATCTTTCTGCAAGGGAATGCTAGCAGTTTATAGTAATACGTTGGTTTTGCATTGGTACCGGCTCATCCAGACAATAATATACGAGGTTAATAAAAGACCCGTTCTTCAACAGTATTTGTTCCTACACTTCTATTTAGTGTTGTATTAATGCGGTGGCATAGCATTTTCTCAAATGCAATCTTGTTTCAAAACAGCTTATATTAATTTTTTTACATATATGATCAGTACATGTGCTGGGATTGACAAAGATATATATCTTATTTGGATTTTAAAGGCACCTCAAGTGTCTGTGATAAAAGGTATCTATCACAGGGACACAGCCCAGTGTTGGGATAGTGTAAGAAAGTAATTCTAAAAAAATATATATACTGTATATATAATAAAGTCTATATATTATATATACAGTATATTTTTTTTTTTAGAATTACCTTTTTACACTATCCCAACACTGTGCTGGGTCTGTCACAGTGTGGTATCTATAGGTTTAAAGCACCAGCCTGTTCAAGTATTACCCTATGTAAAATTAATTAATACCCGCTGGTGTTATTATTTATCACAAAACGTCTGTTGATAATTTCTTAACAGATCATAAGGATTATTTGAACGGATGCAGATCGTGGCCGAGATGATCGACTCGGTCGAGTTCATTTAGGGCCGAACAAGATGATTTCAATTTACTACTCGGCATTTGTGTAATTCACTCATAGATGGACAGCAACATTCACTACTGTATGTTTTTATTTTAAAAACATAAGGAGTGGTCCATTAGTTACTTCATATTTACTTCATAGTAGATCTATGCAAAATATAAAAATCCAAATTAATTTGTAGAAAATCATGAACATCCGAGCGGCTATTTTAAAGCCGAAACATTGATTAAAATTGTTATTATTTACACGTAAAAACAGTCAAACTCCTTCGCTTTAACCATTACTTTATTGATGCAATGAAATATTGACAGTATTTAATTTAATTGCAACAGCAAATGTTCTCCACTAAAATAGTCTTACGTTTCTCACGTCTGACATTTTTCACGACCCTCCCGTGAGATTCGTAAGATCTTACATTTTTCACGGGTCTGACGAATCTCACGCTACACCGGTATATACCTGACAAGGTGCTTGAATGATAAAATGCTACAGTCTCGACTTTTCACCTAACGGAATGAACGTTAAAACGTCTAATTCATCTCTTCACACTATTTTATATACGATAATGAATGAAAAATGTAAGAAATGGCGGGAAAAAAAATTTGTTCATATTGTGATCATGATTTTTGCAAGCGTCTAGAGATACTGCTACAAACACTGAATTGCGTTAAATTGATTCTAATTCTGTGTATATTATATCCGCTATTTAGTGTATGCAGGGGTACGTAGCTGGTTAAACCGAGTGTGGTCATTGGTCGGAGCACTTGTTAAAGAACCTGAGATTACAAATACAGAGGAACCTGTCACTGAAGAACATATTTCTGAATGGGACAGGAAAATTAGGGCTGCTAGAAATCACTACTTGATAGAGGTAAGGGATTTAAAAAAAGAAGTACACGTAAATAATTAAAGCATTTTAATGACTGCTTTTGAATTGTATCACTTGGCTGTACAATATATATTTGCCAGCTTTGGAACTACTATCCAGTATAGTCTATATTGGATGGTTTAGACTTGGTGTGCATGATCTTTCCTGCTGTATGCAGGATTAATTTTTGATTTCCATACAAAATACTTATTCAATGTAACTGTTTGATTGATTATTTAATTATGATTTTGTAATATAGAATGACGCTTCATTTAATCATTAGTAGGAAAAATGTAATCAAAACAGAACATAAACTATTTAACAAAACATTGTACATAAACATACATATATTATCAACAATTTCTTAGCAATCTTTAATTTGAAACTATGAAAAATTTAAGACTTGTGTAACTGTTCTATTTCAAAAAGTAGAATATACATAAGTTAGAATATAATTTTCTTTTCAGGTAGTTTAAGTGTTGGACATGCTTTCAAAGGTCAGAGGGACAGAAATACGTGATAATGTAAAAAGAAACATGGGAAAGTAAGATTTTTGTAAATTCTATTGCATACTTATAATCTATACTACACTGGAGTTTTAAAGCGGTCTTTTAAATTTTCAGCATTTATGCTAACTTTTTATTTTTGTTAAAGCTCACTTGTAAAAAGATAGAAAAGTTGTTCATTAAGTCAAGATAACTTTCAAGATATCTAAAGGGCAGATAACCATGAAAAACATTTTTGCTTGTTATTTTTCCATTTTTCATAAATTTCTTCTTTTTTTTCAGTGAAAATGATATAACAAACGCCATTGGACATTTACATATCCTCCAGACAGACGAGGGGTGGTGAGAGAAGGTCATATATCTAAAAGCATCACACCTCCAAATTCGTGCTAATATTCATGGATATTTAAAAGTATAACTTTGTGAAGTAACTAAAAGGAAGTAAATTATACGTTAGTGACAATTATCAAAAGGAGGTCAAAATATGCAAAATAGCACTAAATATTTTAGTAATGCTGTAGAAATATAGTTAAAATACTGAAAATCTGTCATTAATTGTTGAAACATTATTATCCGAATCTAAATTATAACATTTTCATTATTTTGTTTGATAAGGCAAACTTTGATAGAAATATACATACATTGTTTTGTTCATTAATATTTGTATATGTTTTCTTAGTTTCATTCATGTCATTGTTTTTGTAATATTTTTTGTTTTGTTGTTAACTTATTTTATGTTTTATTTTGTTTAATTTATGAAAAGTATTTAGACTTGCAGTCAATTTACTAAAACTGTATGTATCAGCTTTAAATTGCAACTTTTATTTTAAATAAAAAAATCAAAACATACATGTAAAAGGATATTTTTGCTTTTAGTTTTTATGCCCCCGGGCATATAGTAATTGAACCGTCCGTCTGTCCGAGCAAACATTTTGGGTTTAGGGGCTATATAACAGTAAAGAGAACAAAAGGTTCATTCCGTGATCAAAGGGTTTATGGGCTAGTAGCCCTTAAGAAAACAAAGAAAAAAGCCCCTAAACCCAAAATGTTGGAACGTCCGTCTGTCCGTACAAGGTTAACCTAGAACGGCAAGTTGGATTTTTCTTAAGTTCTACCTGTACCTATTGCTTCTTAGTTTACACACTTACTAATCAATACAAAGTACATGATCTGGTCAAGTTACATAACTATGGCTTCTATATTTACCAAGTTATTGCCCTTTTCAGCACTGAAATGAATAATGGTTAACCTAAAAAGGCAAGTTGGAAATATCTTAAGTTCTATCTATACTAATGGCTTCATAATTTCCACACTTACTTATCAATACAAAGTACATGATATTGCCAAGTTATATAACTGTGTCATCCATATTTCCCAGTTATTTCCCTTTTTTCACTTTGAAAATAGGGCCTTGTATGGTTAACCTATTCCGGCAAGTTGGATTTATCGTAAATTTCTCTTAATTGCTTAATTTATTTAATGATATCTTGCATATTTGGTAGGTGGATACCTTTAATGGTCCTCTAATTTTTGTGGAGTAAGTGGTCTCTAGGGTCAAGGTCACTGGTTTAGAAAATAAATTAAACATTTTTGCTCATACAGCCTTTATTTTTTGGTTGATGTCTTTCATGTTTAATACAAACATGCCAAGGGAGGTCCTCCTTCTTTGGGTATAGTAAGGGGTCATTTGGGTCAAGGTCAATTTCACCAATGTCAAGGTCACCAATGTTAAAAATAGATTTTTACAGGTGTATTAACCATATTCTATAGACAGATGTCATTTATAATTGATAGGAACATAAAATTTGACGGAGTTAGTGGTCAGTTGGGTCAAGGTCACCAGTGCTAAAAATAGATTTTTACATTTTTGCTCATACAGCCTTTATTTATTGACAGATATATTTCATATTTGATAGGAAGATAACTTGAATGGTATTCTTCCTTTTGATTGAGTGAGGGATCAGTGTGTCAATGTCACAAGTGTTGAAAATAGATTTTTACACTTTTGCCCATACAGCCTTTATTAGTCCCCTACCGGTTTAACCGGAGGGGACTTTAGGTTTACCCTCCGTCCGTCTGTCTGTCAGTCCGTCCGTCCACAAAACTGGATCCCGCGATAACGTAAAAAGTACTGAAAATATTTTTATGAAACTTGATATATGGATAGATGGCAGTATGGAGATTATGCACGTCTTTTTTTTCTTCCTATGTTGAAAATTCTGGTTGCTATGGCAACAAATAGTCTGAAAATATGGCAAATTTAACACATAAACTGGATCCAGTGATAACTCAAAAAGTACTGAAAATATTTTTATGAAACTTGAAATATGGGTAGATGGCAGTCTGGAGATTATGCACATCTTTTTCTTTTCTTCCTATATTGAAAATTCTGGTTGCTATGGCAACAAATAGCCTGAATTTCAAGATTTCTGATTTAAATTTTTCAGCTTTTTCACTATATGTTCTTTATTTCTTAAGGTGTTTACTTCAAACTTTAAATATAAGTTTCTGGTCATCAACCACATCATATGTGACAAGGTTTATAACTCTAGCACAAAAATTATCAGTATTACCTCCCTTGAACTTAGATTTTTTAGGGGGAAAAAATTTTGTCTTTTTTAAATAACTTCTTTATTTCCTAATGTATCTACTTCAAACTTCATATATATGTTTCTTATTATCACTCGACATTTTTGAGAAGGTTAAATACTCTAGCAAGACTATTTCCAGAATTATGTCCCCCTTGAACTTAGATTTTTTTCGAGAAATTGGTATTTTCACTCCAACTTCTTCTTTCCTTATAGGATTTACTTTAAAATCCCACATCGTAATAATATGACAAGGTTGTATAAACATAATTTCCTTACTAGGCATGGAAACTTAACACATTACTGTGATATAGACAAACTTAGAACTCAAAAGATTTAAGTTTATTCATGTCATTCATTCACTGGTAAAATTGAATGGCAAATGGCCCATCAGAATGTTGCTGGGGTTCTAACAGGTAGGGGACTTATGGATTGCTTGCAATACTATGATAATTGCTTGTTTATTGACAGATATATTTCATATTTGGTAGGAAGATAACTTGCATGTTATTTTTACTTTGGATGGAGTTAGGGGTCAGTTGAGTCAAGGTCACAAGTGCTAAAAATGGATTTTTACACTTTTGCCCATACAGCCTTTATTTATTGACAGGTGTATTTCATATTTGGTAGGAAGATAACTTGCATGATATTCTAGGTGTCAGTGGGTCAAGGTCAAGGGGACCAAGTATAGATTTCTTACATTTATATATATTTGATAAAGTTGAATATTTATCACTTCACAAGTAATAGCAATGACTTTGCAACTTAAATAATTTTTTTATTTCACAATTACAAAATGCCATGACTCGGTCAAGCTATATAACTTTTGTTAACAATTTTTTGGCAATGATTCTGTCCATAACTGGGTGAATGGGTAAACATTTTTTGCAATATTGCTACTGACAAGAATTGGAGCCGTGGGCATTTGTGTTTAACAAACACGTTCTTGTTTGTTATACATTTCATTAGAGGAAAGTTCCTTATTTAAAATAATAGAATGAGTTATATTAAATTTGGATTGGCCAGAAAATATTTATAAACTGGTAAAACAAGAAGGATAAGGGAAATGATCAGATTAAGGTCAGGAAATGGTCAGATTTAGGACAGAAAAGGGTTAAGATTTAGGTCTGAAAATGGTCAGATTGAGGTCGGAAAATAGTCAGAAATTGGTAAGATAATGGATAGATTTGGGTCAGAAAATGGTTAGATTCTGACGTCTACCTGACGTCAGATTATTACGTCAAAAAAAACTTTCAAATCCAATCGTTTTTCCGACGTCAGAACCTGACTGAAATCTGACGTCAGTGTGACGTCTTGTGTTTGCTGGGGTATATGATCAACAAGGAAAAACAACGTTCATTCCAGGCATATTGCCTAGCAACGCATGGTCCCAATAAGACACCGACATAGAACGGAAATGACACAAAAGGCGGATCAGAGAAGAGGCAAATGAAATTATATTTGTGTAAGTAACAAGTTGATTAGAACCATCTCACATGATCACATGTGACCCCTTGATGATGTAAAATGGAGGAGAATTGAAGAGAAAGTGAATCTGTCGTGAGACAGTATTAATGCTCCCGATGCAATATTTTCGCCATTGGGATTTCGGGAATGTTGTAAACCGGAGAGGAATTGAAAAGAAATTTTGATGAATAAAATAATTAAGAGAAGGAATTACTTACAGTACACAACAACACATAATGAGACAAACAAAACATTTAAATCGTCCGCATACTAACAAGACAAAGCAAGGTACACCATGCCTTTGAACGGTTTGTATCAAAAGCATCACCAACACTGGAGTTTAACGATAGCTTGCTAATTTCCAGCTGTAAAGAAAAAAGCAGATATAAATTATTGAAAATTAAAACATAATACATGTATAAAACAACATTATGTACAATATCTGCTTTCCATGCCAATTTCAAGTTGACACGAGCCTACTCTGCCTATGACCTACTTAGTTGGTATCCCGTATTATAAACGGTTGAAGCATAATAATGGCATAACCACGCACGCCATGTGGAAATTCAGCTTTCAAACGTAGAATGTTCAGAACTATGTGAAGAATTCTACGTCATCACTGTATGTTGGATCAAGGCAGATACAATTATGTCTGGGAAAAAATCAAAATGGCACAGCGCATGTAATGTGCAAGTATTAAAATTGCTCGTTAATAATTTACAACGTACGTAGCATGATGCACTTTTCATTGCAGTACACTTTCTTATATATTTGTCTATCAATAGTATCTTATAATATCTTATCACTTGACATATAATATGCACTACCAACAACTACAAATTAAAATTTCTCTTTCACGACTTCCCAAAATTATGTGTGCCAAGTTTTAGATAATCCACACGTTTTTGTATTGTAACCTCATTTTTTTAACTTAATTATCTGACTCTCTATAAACATTTCACTATTGCGTAATCCAATAAACTTTTGAGTGACTGCAAGAGAAGACGGATTTCATTATGAGAAATTTATACTGTATACATGTAAAAATATAGGTTATTAAAGGGTTTTAAATTTGTAAAAGCATGTACCATTATTATCAAATACATTTTGAGTTAAAACAATGATTTACAGTCTTATAAATAATTATTGTTGAAAACATGTTATTAGATGTATATCAAATACATTGTGAGTTAAAACACAATGACTTATATTATATGTGCAGAATCTTAAATATTATGATTTTTTTTAAGTTAAAACACAACGAATTCGAGTATTAAAGATTATGAAAACATGTTATTACTCATAGATCTATATCAAATACATTTTGAGTAAAACACAATTATTTAAAGCCAAAGGCAAACTCCAAGTCATTAACCGGCTTTAAATGGAGTCACTGCCATTGTCTGAAATACACAGATGGGCATCTGATGTCTTCCTCGACCAGTAAAGCTACAAAGTTATCATTGTAATCATTTCAGTGTTGGCATAAGTTAAATACA